GCAAGACATCACTCCTCTCCCCATGTTTATCCTCCCTACGTACCCTCGCCTATCCTCACCTTTCCTTTTCTCTTTCTCCTCCATTCAACTGCCTGTTCTGCTTATGCTCTTTCTTCCTCTTGCTCGTCCATCCCCCATATCCTGCTCCTTGTGCTAATCGTCTTCCCTCCTCCCGTCTCGTCCTCCTCCTCTTCCTGTCCTTCCTCTCCTTCCATCCCCTTTCTCTCTCCCTGTCCATCCCGCACCCCTCTTTCCCTCTTACGTTTTGCCCCACTACCTTCTTCACCCTTCCACCCTCTTCTACTCCCCCGCAACATTTTCCAATATACGTCGATTCCCTCTTTTCCCGACGGTACGCAACCCGATGCGTTAATATTTGGAGTTCCACGCACGCTATGACACGCGCAACGCAATGGAAAGGGATTGGTGGGAGGGGTCAAATGTCAGATGTGGCGCGAGCGCACGTAGCTTGCCCTCCTCGCCTTCCTCCGCCTCCTCCTCCTCCTCCTCCTCCTCGTCCTCGTCCTCCTCCTCCTCCTCCTTCTCCTCCTCCTCCTCCTCGTCCTCCTCCTCCTCCTCCTCCGGATTGGCGTCTTCATGGATGATTGTATTGCACAGCAGTGGCAGGCAGCTTCTCAGCATGTTGCAGACGCTGACGTGGTTGACGGCGCCGACATGACGACGGTGCGCATCGAGCTGAATCGTTTCGCCAAGCGCATGCAATTTGAGGAGTGGTCCGCCGACCTTGCGGTCGTGGGGGGACGGCCAGTGGACTCGTGAGAGGCAGATTGCTACACGTTGCGCCTGCCCGCCCGTATGCCGCCGCTGTGTAAAAACGGCCTGAAACTTTAGTGCATCGTATTTGGACGTGCCCCGCGAACTGCGGGCACGAGGATTTGGGGAAGACAGATTTCCTGGTTCCCCAAGCTCTCGCGAGCCTCGATGCCCAGCCTGCGTTGTGGTTCCGCGGAGTGCCCCCGAAGGACCTCGTGGTGCCTGAGCTGGTAGAGGCCCCTGAGGTGGCCCAGAAGGTCCTTCTTGGGGAGGGGAGTGGTTTGGACCACTGTGTCGCCCCAGGAGGCCCCCCTTGCACATCTTCGGGGGTGGCTGGAGGCGGGCACAGCTCGGACCCCAGGAGGAGACGATGCGGCTCGGCGATTGCTGTCATGAGCCAGGATCCCTCGTCGCGTTTCTGGAGCCCCGTGCGTGGCGTTGCTCAGGTCCTTGCCGGTAGAACGCAGATGGTGCCGCGTGCTGAACTCCCAAGCTTTCTGCTTAGCGCTTGAGAGCTCGCCTGGCCCTATCTGCTACGCGATTGACTGTAAGAGTTCAGTTTCCGATTGGCATTCTGGTCGTGCCAAGTCTCCTCGGGGCCAGAACGGTGGCCTTTGGGTCCGTGTCGGGCGCGCTCTGGAAGCCCGCGGCCCTGGGGATGTTTCTGTGCTGTGGGCCCCCTCGCACCGTGAGGAAGAGTTGCAGTCGGTCAAAACGGAATTCGAATTGTTTTTGAGCCTGGGCGATGCTTGTGCCGACGTGTGGGCGGGCACTGCGGCCCAGTGGGCTTGGGACTGGTGCGTGACGCCCCCTGCCCCTCGGACGGACTTCTGGGACACGACGGCGGCACTGGTGAGGCTCAGAGCTCGGCGTGCGTTGCTTATGGGGATCGGTGAGAGACCACCTAGCGTCAAGCAGCCGCGTAAGCCAACCCGTCTGGAGGAGGCTCTGAAAGCTAGCTCTCACGATTTTACGCCGTTTGCTGGTCGCTGGGCGCGTGGGCAATGCACGGATATTGTCCCGAGGAGCAGGTTGCTCGAACCCTTTCCGCGCCGCTGGATTCGGATAGGACGCTGCGCTGCGGTTACCTCCAGAGTATGGTGAGGGTTTCGAGGCGATCTCGGGGGAGGCGTGCGTCGGCGGGGTGCTCCTGCATCCCAGCCACCGCCTCGCCAAGATAAAGGCCTACGGGCTGTCTTTCTGCATGACTTGTGGACGCACAGCCGCTGCCGATGCGAGGAATCTTGCTGGTGAGTGCCCCCCCCGTCTCGGAAACGGGGGGAATCTTCAGAGATTTCACCGAGGTCTGTTACCTCGCTGTCGTGGTAGCGTCCGTGATGGCGGCGATTGCAGTGGACGCTGCTAGCCGCGCACTCCCCACTCCTGGAGCCCAGGTGGAAGGAAAGCCTGCTCATGGGCCAAAGGGGGAGGCGCCCGACCCACTCGATGAGTATTTGAGGGTCTCGTCGGCCCGCCATCCGTGCGAGACAGCGACCTTGAGGAGCGCTGAAGCTGAGGAGGCTCGGTGCTGTGCTGCTGCCGCCCCGTCTGCCGCCGTTGCCTTGAGGGAGACAGCTGCTCGGCTTCGTGCGTCGTGCGCCCGCGGCAGCGGTGGCGGCGTTTCGCAGCAGCTTGCAGCGGCAGCGGAGGACAGTGGTGACAGTGATTGATCGGCCGCGTGCGCGGCGCTCAGCAGAATCCAGCAGAGTCCTCCTCCTCTTCCTCC